CCTAAATTTCTCAAATTCCGGCAATTAACTACAAAACCGCAAGGTACTGCGTTATGAACACGTAGCTGAATAAAGGATAGGGTAGACAGGAAGGCCACCTCATGTCTATGTTTTAGATAAACAAATGTTTTATAAATTTTACTCAACGCTTTCAAGAATTATCATATCACTGATGTACCATCCTCAAGGCGTCCCACACAACAGATAACGTGTGTATATTTCAGTCCCTGTGACGTTGTTGTGAGTTGGAGCTCAGGATGATGACTAGTGTCAACACTGATTTCTACATCCTTATTAGATAAATTAAAAATGGGCGTCATGGTGGGAGTGTCATTCCAGAACACATCCATGTTTATAAATACGTTCAAGGAAGTGCTGATGACTACGGAACCCGACAAATTTTGCAACACGTCGATTTTTTCCCACGTCTGTGAAGCCACGAAGAAACGCTTGCCTACGAACATGAAAGCACCTTTTCCGGTCATAAAACACAGGTTCACGCCAGCAGCCTATCCTTGTTTGGTTTATTTTCAAACTACAGTAGGGATGAGTTTGGTTGTCTGTCGTTGTACCCTTTCTACTCTGACGAAGGGCCGAACTTAGGACACAAGATGCCCAGGGCACGGAGTCATTTTAGGGGCAGTTTGGGTATGTTTATGCCTTTCGTAAGCTACTACCCATTTTTTTGCCAGATATGATAAGTTAGAGTAAAACTACGAACCAATATACATGATTCATTATACAGTTTATAGTCGAAGGTCAAAAACGGTCATTATATACATTTTCTTTTTCCTTCTACATAATTGACGTGTATTAAGTAAGAAGCAAAACAGAGCGCTTATTACCCGGAAAGAAGTTAATGGAAAGGAAAGAGGAACGGACAAAAACTCGTACAAGAGAGAGTAACTCATCACTGGGTGGAGGGGGTTAAAGGTCATCGTACTCAAGGGATTAAGTCATCGTACTCAAGGGATTAAGTCATCGTACTCAAGGGATTAAGTCATCGTACTCAAGGGATTAAGTCATCGTACTCAAGGGGTTAAAAACGCGACGGACACTCTTGCATCTTTTGGTGATTATTGTTATAGACCAATGGGAATAAATGCATAATATGGCAAATTTATTTACTATGAGACGCCCTCTGCTATCTTCAAATGTCTTAGAGGTTAGAACAACACAATACTGTTCATGTTCACTTTGTTCACTTATGTTCACTTTTGTTCATTTATGGTCTGGATCATATTCATCTACATCACTCTTCTCTCATACAAATCAACTCAAATTTTCGAGGATAAAATAATATCAACGTTGTTACTAAGAAGTGAAAGTAAAACTGAATCAAACACACACACACACACACACACACACACACACACACACACACACACACATATCAAGAAGCACTCAACACACTGACCCTTTCGACTCTCACTGACCATCACCACGACCTCGTCTGCAAATTTGGTAAGAAGCTTCTACACCATCTTCGACACCGTCTCCTACTACCACCTGAGATCCCTAGCCCGAGAATTGCTGTTCGACACCACAACCGCATCCAGCCCATACGAGCACGTATTGATCGCTATAAGAACAGCCCAGTCCCAACCATTGTAAAAATTATCAATAACTTGTAATAAACCAGTGTATTCACTCCCAGTAAACACTACTCCTTGCACTGTCACTATGTTGAAATGAACTGTAGTTTGAGCTTTTTCCCATCTAGTTATTATTTATCTTATTTGTATCACCTTCTGGCTGCCAAGTTCTTTTAATAAACCGTTAATTATTATTATTATTATTATTATTATTATTATTATTATTATTATTACCATAAGTTTTAAGAAATAAATATGTTATTACGATAATTACAGTACTATTATCTTATGTTAGAAATTTTGATTTGCTGTATATAGGGGCGATCAGTTGTAGATAACTTAACTAAAATAACTCAGCCTAAATATAATTATAATATTTAGTGAATATCGACCACGTAAACTACACTTGGACTAATAACACTAACTGGACTCCTTACCTAACCTAACCTAAACTAACTGGACACTTGCAATAAATATCTCTAAATGTGGGATACAAAAAAAATTATTAAAGAATTTGAGTGAATCAGCTTGAATGATAAGTTGAATAAAGATGATATAAGAGAAGGTTGGTCGTGTGGTTGACTTACGGAAGGTCAGATGTTGAAAGCCTCTGAAGATTATATACAGTCACGAGGAAGGTATATGACGGATGATAGGTGTGTATAGTTACAGAAGAGTGTGGATGATAGAGATAGACTGTGCCAGAGAGGGACAGTGTTGGTCAATGAGATGATGAAGACTAAGTTGTTGTTTTTTTCTAATGACAAAAAAAAATACTGGTGATCTTGTCGTCTTTACCACATATACACATTTGCTGTTGGCCTCTTCTGGGGTTATATACAGAAAACTGTTTGGTTGTTTTCGTTTTATGCCCAATGTAGTGTTCAAAAATGTGTTTCTAGACAAGGTTTTAATATTATCTGTTCAGTGGTGATAATCATTTATTTTTATTAATAATAATAATAATAATAATAATAATAATAATAATAATAATAATAATATTATTATTATTATTATTATTTGGTTTGCACTCAAGAAAACCTGAGAGTGAACAGCACAAACCAATGTCTAATGAGGAAGGCTCACTTATGGTGCAACAGCTGTAGAACTGCATGCAACACCACCGGTTCCATACTAACCTTAGAGATCCAGCGATGCAGTGTACTGAATATATTCTGTATCAGCCACTACACTGACTGGTGTCCTAGCAAACCTTCCAACCTTTACCGGTGCATTGAGTTGCGTCCTACAGTCGGAATAAATGCTGGCTGTAGTTGACAATCCCACATATATGTGAGGTTAGGAAGGTTTGTTTAGGTAGGAGTCAAAGATAATAACTTCGTCTTAACCTCCACTAAAGATAAATTACGCAAGGACTGATTACACACACTAGAACAGCACAATGATCTTTATTTTCTGACTCACAACACTGATGACGACCACTGATCTCTTATGGCAAGTCGTGTGTTACAGTTAGCTCCGGGGTTAGGGTATGTAGCCATGTGTACTTCCCTCTTCTTGGGGGCCGGGAGCTGGAACAAGTGAAGGAGGAAGAGATAAGTTCAGTAAACAATCATTGTGGATAGTGGAAAGTGATATAGAGTGATAAGACAAGGCAAGGGGAGGTAAGTCATCACGTTTATTCATCTGTAGAAGACAAATTGAGGGAAATTAGAAGGGAAGAAATAAGGAGGACTCTGATTGCTGACGGAGCTACACATTCTTACATAATGCTGAGGAATTATATACAGCATAGATTGAAGACCAAGTCGCAGTGTTTCTTAAGGTTACTGAAAACGCTGCGAGGAAGCTGCACACCCATTACTGCATCGCTCAACGTTTAATATGAAATTGCGTTCTTGTTGTTATTTGTTGACGTAACTTGTTCCCCATCTGTAATTGTATTTCCGAACCAGTGTTTACCCGCTCTCTTCCTAAATGTAAATATCTCTAATTCAATACCATTATACGAATCAACTTTATTCTGCCGTAAGTGGTCCATAAAACACTATCTATCATACAAGAAAAACAAATATAGGATTAAATTATGAGTCCCATTTTATTATGAGACATCTTGACTAAATTATTCTCTTAAGATTTTCACAATTCAAAGCAAACTACAGAGAAACAGTTTTGTTTCTAAAATTCGCTCTTCAGTATTTTCACTCCTCAAATTTATCGTGTTAACATTTTCTATAACCTGAGGTATTTGATAATTTACAACTATATATAGAGCTAGTTGAGTTACCCAGGTGGAGTGACGTGGGATAGTGCACGACCATCCTTTGGTTAGACCACTCACACCTCCCTGTCAAATTTTAACTCACCGTCCAACTGTGATAATGCATAGAAAACATACAGACACAATGCAGATACTCACGTTGACAGTTTGGAAATTTGCGCATGTGCAGTCAGTGCGACCTAGCGTTCAGCTTCGAAGTACGAAACTGAGTTGTTTATGAGTTGTGAGCCTAGGGCAGACACGTTAGTCCTTGCCACCTTGTGTCCTGTGAGTAGTCGAAACGGAGCACTCGACGGCCCCTGAAAGCTACCACTCCAGTGCTATATAGTTAATTCTTCCCTGGATACGTGAACCAGATGAGCCACACACTAAATCAACATGAAGTACTCAGTGTTACCCCCCCTGTTATGGCCAGGACGCGGCGTTAGTGATCTACACTACCCTCCTACACCATCTGGTCAGTGAACGGGCATAATCACACTTTAATAAGCCTCTCGTAGTACTCAGAAGGCTAGTTGCTTCAGTAATAAGATGAGGGAGGGTTATCTTATACTGTACTTAATGGACGTAATATCACTAACACCTTTGTTGACATTCGGCGAGACTAGGAACTTCCGAAGTATCAGATGTTGCTACATTTTAGAATTTATCGTTTAAAATGAATGAAACTAACCTTACTTAACCTACCTTAACATAAGTCATATAATAATGTTTAAGTGAGGCTCAAGATTAGCATGACTATTATACGTAACTCAATTCCGTGGGTTTGTTTTCTTGGATTATGACTCAAACTACTGTAATAGGTAAGCACACCCAGGAAGGAAGTCTCCCTCTGTGTTATGTTCGGCAGGTGTTTCCTCGAGCCAAACAAAAGAGAAATGATAACGAATATAAAATGAAATACGTAATAACTTACGATTACCATTTTCCTTTTTCTTCTTGGGTGCCTTAAATTAGGTTAAATAAAGTAAATCCTGGAAACTGCATCGTTAAGTGAATGTAATGCTGAAAATTTGAGTGTCACAGGTGTATTAGACATAAGATAGCGGCTACCACCAGAAGTTGTTTGTTTTCTTTATTTTTTGCTGTAATTATTGTTTTGATGATTTTAAGTATATTAAAAGAAACGACAACGTTATATTATGATTTTTTTTACTCTACAGTATCCCTCGTCACAATTCTCCTCCCGGCGCCATTTTTGTTGTTTACTTCGCTGAATCCCTCTTCAAGAGACGTTTCCTGTAAATGATGGTGAACGCTGCCACGAATTCCTCTTCGCCGTTGCTGCTGTATATCAACTTCAATATCAAGGTAAGTTGTTTAACACATAAATTAACACGATAATGCATAGAACCTGACCCAACAAACCCAACCTATGGGTATGTTAAGTCAGGTTCTCTGTATTGTCGTTTCCATTTTTGTGTTTAATATCATGATATTTGTGTAGACAAAAAGTCAACCAATTCGGACAATTCCTTCTGGTGGTAGCCGTTATCTACACCTTTACCAGACATAATTCCCTTATTGGCCAATGAGTTCTATTTGAAATAATAATATCCAGGACACGGTCACGTCCTGATAACCTCGTGACCGTGAAGAAAGTTCAATTCAAGGGTTTGGCTCACGGATTATTATTAGTGAGTGACAAGTTACGTAAATGGTGTGATAATTGTGATTACTTACTACTTCACATCAGCTGCTATCTGTCCCCTCGCTCCATTCTGCGTTGACCACTGCTATCGGTTAGTCCACGGACCAGCGACTTCCCGACAAAACTGTGCTCCCGGAGTAGCAACTCTGAATCATTCTACCCGTTGCTTACTCTACCAGCTATTACCTGAACAGTATTGTGGGTGTTTTGTGACACGAAAATACTCCAATTATACAGAAATAAAAGTAAAGTGTTTATTTCATGAGCAGATATAATTACGTCACCTGTTCTCAGCCGTAGAGAAGTAAGTTGAAGTTGATTCTATACCTATGGTTATGTTTGTTATATATTTTTCGTGTACTGTATCAACAACGACCCATTTCAAACATAAAACTCGACTAAATTTATTACCTTGATGTGACGTGTTGTAAGGTGTTTTATTGTAGGCCTGCGGACCCCAGGCGTTGATGGCCAGTAAATTCAGCACGATACGTCAGGTTGGTGAACACTAGCTAGCCATTTCAGTGTTTCTTGTAGGGTCTTCAGTACTACGAAAATGTGATGAATTTATGCCATTGTGCAGACGCCATCAACCGCTTGTTTACATAATGTCTGCTTTTCTCTGGGTACTTAGTGTGTGTGTGTGTGTCTAGCGCTTACAATGTTCTCCATCGGGGGAACATGGGGGTGTATAATGAATAATCTGCTACGAAGAAAACAGCTGGGATGATATTAAATTATTTCGATAACTGAACTCATTTACTTACTTATTTCCTGTAAAATTTTGAGATGATCTTAAAACGAAGTTGGTGAGAAAGGCCGATTACACGTTGGTTAATGAAATTATTTACTTTACTAATGTGTTCATAAAGGTGGACAAGACCAAGTGTATCTAGTGAAGGTAATGGAGAAGCTTAGATGTCTGTGAGCCCATAAAAGCCGAACCTAACCTTACCTTAGCTTACCCTACCTTAGCTTACCTTACCTTACCGAAATTATGGAATTGTTTGTGACAGGAAATACTTCTAAAGAGAGAGCAGTGGTCAGTAGCTGTTTTTCTCCCGCCAGAAATTTACATTACTATTACTGATCAAAACTTATTATAGATAATTATAAGGATTATTGTTTTGAGGGAGCGGAGTCAAGGTCACAGGGTACAACTAAATGCTGAGTCATACGTATTTTACAGAATCATTATAACCATGTAAATTGTAATTATTTTTTATATCATACTTCAGTGGTTAATTCTTAAAAAAAAAAAAAAACTTAAACTTGTAACGTGGCTATTGCAAGGTGTACTGTTCAGTCCTTAAAAAAAATTATCGTTACTGGGTCGATAAATTTCAGAATGAACACTGTGACTCCTGTTTTCTCGGTCTGGTTGTCAATATCCTTCGTCCGTCGCGTTATGATATTATCTACAGGGCCGGATTCAGGAGTGGGCAAAGTGGGCAGCTGCCCAGGGGCCTCCACAATCTGGGGGCCTCCACATATTACAGTATTTTATTTATTTGTTTAATCATTTGGATGATTTTTATTTTCATTCTTTAAAATTCATGTTTATCTATTCCATCACGTAAAACTATGTTCAGCAAGAAGCGTGATAGAAATTAGGCTAGCTACTCCTTGAAACCACATGAATGACTCCAGTCATGTCTCACTATTGTGTGCGTGTGTGTGTTGGGAATTTGTACACTATCAATAAATATACAGTTAATTAAAAATTTCTCAATGTTCTAATTTCCTCAATATAACTGCATATGGCTTCAAAATTCTCCAAAGAAGTGTTCAAATTTCAAAATTTCCCCGGGGGGCTTACAGCGCCCCCCGGAACTCCCAGATGTTTAGGCTGACTTCACTCGCCACCCCACCCTCTTGGGTAGTTATAATGAGGGGGGGGGGGGCCTCCACAAAGAGGCTGCCCATGGGCCTCCACAGGTCTAAATCCGGCACTGATTATCTAACACAGTTTTGTATAGATAATTTTTTTTTGAGCGACTGCACATGATATTGTGGTAGTGCGTTATGTCGACAAACTTGAATTTTGTCCTGACACTCTTGATAATTCGTCCTGTTTATCAATATTTATCTTCACAAGTAGTAATATAATCAGGGGACACGTAACAAACAGTACGGACACCCACAGAAGCGTCGTAGTGTTGAAGCGGGAGCAAATTTGTTTTTTAACGATAGAGACGATTAGAACCGGTGGCATGGAGTGTTTTAAGTTATTATTCAAGGACTAAACCAAACCGCTTGATAATACACGGGAATAGTAAAAAGTTTTGGGAGAGTAAAGGATCTGTTATATCATTGTTACTGTATTATATTAATTCATCAACCAGTGCGTCCATGTGTACCAGTTTGAGACGTCGTGGCTGTATCCGTCAAGTCAGGACCCTCGTTAATAAGGATAAGATATTGATACTCATAGATTGATAAGATATTTTGATACTGATAACATACTTGATTGATACTACATGTTGTGATGAAGTGTTAAGAGTGTCTCCTAAATTTCAAGTTGAAAGGAGTGATTACTTAGTCTCAACTTATTGTAGCAAATGACTGAAAAAATCAAATTGAGTATATAATTACCGTGCTAGACTATTGTCATACGAATACCAACATGACTTGGTTTACCTTGATCCATAAACTTAAGCTGTGTTTAATACACCTCTGCCTAACAACAACTTCTGTAATGTAAAAATCAACGATGTTAATGAATGTAACGAATTTATTCATAATTTTTTACGTTGTGCTGCAAAATTGCACGAGTCAAAATCCCAAATTTAGGACAATACTTTGGGGTTTGAGGAACTGGAGAAAGGCTGACAGACACCACACGTCTCGGTCACCTAAATTTTTTAGTTTCGTTTCAATCGGAACAAAATGAGACAAGAATAGGAGGATAGGGATGGATCAGAGACAGGGTCACTTGTGGATCTGCCCATAGATTTCCTTGTTTTACCGTTGTATCTCATAGAAAATATCTGTAAAGATATTGGGGTCGGGACAAAACCCCCGCAGGACAAAACCCCATTGGGCAAAACCCCCTCAAGTAAAGTGCAAAGTAGGAAAAAAATATTGAGAGTAAAAAATAGGGCAAAAGCCCCCATTTTTTATAGTTTCAGACGAAGTCCATTTTAATAATTTTAGGTTAAGCTAGGTTAGGGGCTTTTGCCCTACCTTTTTTTGTCCTCTAAATAAGAAGTTTTGTCCTAGGTGTTTTGTCCTAAGGGGGTTCTGTCCTAGGGGGGTTTTGTCCTGGGGGTTTGTCCTAGGTGTTTTGTCCTAGGAGGTTTTGTCCTGGGGGTTTGTCCTAGGGGGGTTTTGTCCTAGGAGGTTTTGTCCTGGAGGGTTTGTCCTAGGAGGTTTTGTCCTGGGGGTTTGTCCTAGGGGGGTTTTGTCCTAGGAGGTTTTGTCATGGAGGGTTTTGTCCTGGGGTGTTTTGTCCTAGGGGGTTTTGTCCTGGGGGTGTTGTCTTACACTCAAAGATATTATATACACGCACACACTGTGAAGTGATAATATCAATCATTTAAGATGAAATAAATTTAGCAGTTGGTTGGTGTGTGTGTGTGTGTGTGTGTGTGTGTGTGTGTGTGTGTGTGTGTGTGTGTGTGTGTGTGTGTGTGTGTGTGTGTGTGTGTGTGTGTGTAAAACGACACAGCACAGCAGGTGGTAGTCATCTCCACCATTAAACATCTGGCATTTCCTCGACAGGTAACTGCTTGAGGTTAGCTGGTTGGGCCAAGCAAGGTCATCCGGGGTCACGCCTTAAACTGACCCCCACCAGACCCCTCCCTCCCAGGATCTCCGTCTTAAAACTGTACATATTTTGTTTTTACTATGTAAACCTTCTTCACCTACCTTTCCAGGTCGTTCAGAGAGATTATTCATAAGCAGTGTCAGTAGCTCTGGTGTATATATAAAATGAAGCATTAGAGTGTAGCGGGACAATGATCAGTGTGTGGTAATAAATGTGGTAAGTTCACCCGGCGTTATCTTGTACTTTGTTTTCCACACCTCTCCTCTCCCACTCCCTCATCGCCCTCCGTCGACCCTCTCAGTTCTCCCCCAGACCACCCCCGCTCCTCCTCACCTTCCTACACTCCATTTCACCTTCACCATGTGGTCCTCACCCCACCACCTCCTTCCCCTTTCTCCTGTGATCCCTCATTACCTTCCCTGACAACCTTACTCCTTCCACCTCTCACGCTGTGCTCTTCCTTTCCTCACTTCCTTGCTTCTTGCCCTCACCACCACCTACTCTTACCCTCTCGCCACGCCTCTGCCTTATAGTATAACCTTTCCCAACAACTGTCATTTACATCCCCTACTCTGCTTTCCCTTTCCCTTCCTCCGTCCGTAAACACCACTCCCTCCCTTTCTCCCGTCCTATCTCTAGACGTAGATAAATGGACACAAGTGCGTACAGTAATCGATACACCTCTCTAAACACCACACAGTATAAGCTTCTTTACGCTAAGCAATATCTAATGTAAACTGAAAAAAAGTATTAGTAAAGTAAATAATAATAATAATAATAATAATAATAATAATAATAATAATAATAATAATAATGTATTGATATCCCACAATATTCAAGATTTATCCAGTTCAATGAATTTCCCAGCCTGCAGTGTGTGTGCCAGGAACG